TGACAAGGAATAGACAAATAATCAGAAGAAGAAAACTGCCTTGCTAACTAACACCAGTGATAACAACATGCCATGAAGTGAAGATTGTGATTAATTCAACACCACACGTGAAGCCTCCCCAACCCTACCATGGGAAAAAGAAAAAAGAAAGGAACACTCTTTGACATATTTTATGAGGCTAGACCAGAGGTCAGTAATCTTTCTCTGTACAGGGCCACGTAGTAAATATTTAGGCTCTGTGGGACACACCACATCTTTTGCAACTCCTCAACTCTGTCATTGCAGCACAGAAGCAGCCATAGACATTACATAAACAAATGAGTGTGGCAAAGCTCCAATAAAGCTTTATTTATGGACGCTTAAATCTGAACTTCATGTAATTTTTGTGTGTCATAAAATACGATTATTCTTTTGATTTTTTTCCCCAACCATTTAAAAATGTAGAAAACATTCTTCGCTAGCAGGCCAGGGCCAAAGTTTGCTGACCCCTGACACAGAGTAACTTGTACAAAGATATTACAAAGAACTAAAATTACAGGCCAATCTTATACATGCCACAAATATAAAATTCTAAATAAATTATTAGCAAACTGAATCCAGTAATATGTAAAAAAAAGAAAAAAAAAATCCTAATATAACATGGCCAAGTTAGGCTTTTCCCAAAAAAACAAGGTATATATGATATTAGAAATCAATTAAAGTTATTAGTTACATTACCTCTATGATCATCTCAGGAGATGTAGAAAAGGCATTATAAAAAAATGTAATATTGGTTCGTGATAAAAACTGAAGAGCAAATTAGGAATAAAAAGCAATGTTCCTAATCTGAAAAAGGACATCAACAAAAAGACAACAGCAAGTGTTATAAGTGAATGTAAAATGTCAAAAGTATCTCCTCTAAAACTGGAATAAGACAAGGGTGCCCGTATTCACCACTCAATACAGTTCTGGGAGGTGGAGCCAGTGCACTAAGTCAAGAATTAGAACTAAATAAGGGTTGAAAAAAGAAGGAAAAAAATCCACATTTACAGATAGTACAATGATTTACAGACAAAAAGTGTCCTTATTCATCTAGTTAGGTAAACTCAAATCCAAAAGAATCCATAAGATGTTAGGATAAATGAGAGTTCAGTAAGTTGGATGGACATAAAATCAACATCTAAAAATCAAGTGCATGTCTATATACCAGAAACAATGAGAAATTCTATTTAAAAATGAACGCCCTTTAAGAAAAACACAAAGTATAAAAAGACCTAGGGATAAAATTAACAAAAGATGTATGAATCTAATTATAAAATTTTATTGAAAACCATTACACAAGACCCAAATAAGTCATTTAAGAGAGAGAGGAAGACTCAATCTGTAAAAAAAAATGTTAACCTTCCCCAAACCAATCAAAGATTTAATGTGGTATGAATCAACATCCCAGCTATATTTCTATGGAACTTTACCAGTCAATTCTAAAATTTATACGGAGAAGCCAAAGTCCAGGAACAACTAAGACATTCCTAGAGAAGACTATGGTAGAGGAACACGACTTACCAAAAATAAAACATTATAAAGCTGTCTGATTAAGAAATGTGATTTTAGTGCAGGAAAGCACAACCAGGAGACTGATTCAGGCTTCATAGACACTGGTTCTTGAGCTGGGTCCAGTACAACCCAGAGAAAGGGGTGGTGAGGGATAAGTGCCCCTCTTGTGTTTCTTGTGCAATGGAGGCAAGAGATAGTACTGTGCACTCTGGGAACTGTTAGTAGTTCAACATGACTAGCGGGGAGTCAGAGAGGGAGCAGAGAGAGATGAGGCTGAAAAGAAGGGTCAGAATCTTGCTATAGGAAATGAGAAAAGAGTGGCTTACTTAGGTTGAGGGGAATGTGGAAAGTTTCATGTAACATGTTCAAAATTAATTGGGACTCAAAAAAGGAATAGAATTCCAATGAGCAGAAAACAGACTGAACAGCATTCCAGGTAGACTGAACAGCAGAAGTTGGAGGTAGGGAGGGAGACTAATAGCATCCTGCATGTCTGTGGAGCAGACAGCGAATGGGGGTATCTGGGGGTTCTGAGAAAGGAGTAGAGAGAAGGGATATTGAAGAACTCCACATCCACCAGGACAGAAATGTCTTCAGTGATGTGTCATCCCTGCCATGAATAAACACATCATCCTTACAAATTTAGTACTAGACTTGGTGCTTAGTAAATACAGAATATGCTTTTTAGTAAATATACAATGAATGTGAAAGAGTTAGAGCTTTATCCTGAAAGTAACAGGGACTCACTGAACAAAAATAAAGGATATATATAACTGGACTATTTTACAGTTAAGGAGTAAAAGTGGAGCCAGAGAGCCCAGTTAGGAGGAGATCAATGCACTATTTCTGCAGGTCTGATATGGCACAAGACAGTACAGTGAGGCCATAGGGCAAGAGCTTGAGGAGCAGAAATGGGAAAGAAGCATTGAGATAAGGCAATTCACTGGATGTTGGGGAGACCAGGAGGTAGGAGTTGGTAGACCCCCAGGTTGTCAGTGTAAGTGCACGTTCAAGTGAATTTCCATTATCATCATATTCCCCAAATCGTGTAGACCACATTATACAAAGAAAATTAAAAGGAAGCCCATGGTCACAGAACTAGTAAATGGCAGAAATCAGCTAAGATTTTACCCATACCACACTGCATTGCCTCCCACTAATACAGACAAAAGGCATTCACTACTTTGAGGAGAGTAGGAAATAGAGGGAGAAATGAACAGTCAGGGGTTGAAGGGCAAGGCAAGCTGAAGCTCCCTCCCCACTACAGTGTGCAGAGAATAGCTAGGGAGGGTGTGAGATTGTCAGGAAGGTTCTGGCCTGGATGGATCACTACTTTGAGGAGAGTAGGAAATAGAGGGAGAAATGAACAGTCAGGGGTTGAAGGGCAAGGCAAGCTGAAGCTCCCTCCCCACCACAGTGTGCAGAGAATAGCTAGGGAGGGTGTGAGATTGTCAGGAAGGTTCTGGCCTGGATGGAAATGTGAAGACAAACTCAAAAAGTTCTCCCAAAACTCTGAAGAATAGTCATAGACAAAGAAGAAATAGATTTATCCAGAACAGAAACAATATTTCTTTAGTCTTTACAGTGAAAGAAATCCTTGAGAACTGACTAGCCAGAATTAATAAAGGAAATGCCACACCTGGACACATGCAGGAAAAATCCCTAAATTTCACATCCTACAAATACCATGCCATTCTTTAAAACTGTTTACTCCAGGGCCGGCCCGGTGGTGCACTGGAGAGTGCGCCGCTTGGGAGCGCAGCGGCGCTCCCGCCGAGGGTTCGGATCCCATGTGGAGACCGGTTCCCGCTCACTGGCTGAGCACGGTGTGGGCGCAACACCGAGGGTTGCGATCCCGTTGCCGGTCCCTGGTACGGGCGCAACACCGAGGGTTGCGATCCCGTTACCAGTCAGTAAAAAAGGGAAAAAAAAAAAAAACTGTTTACTCCAAAGTCTCAGAAAAATATTCTAAATAAACCTCCAAATTAGGAATTTTATAGTCAACATTCTCTGGTCTTAGCTCACACCAGATAGAGTATCTTAAAGATTAGATTGTTTGAATAAAAGAAAAAAGTACTTTAGGAAAATATGAGTGACTTTCTACTTCTGTGGTATGGAAGATCTGGCATGACATAAGGAGAAGAAAATTTAAAGAAGGAGTTGATTTATCTGAATACATTTTTGAAAATTCTCAATCTAAAAACACACAATAGATTGTGAAAAAATATTTCTAAAATAACATATAAATGACAAAGAGAAAATATGCTTAATGTATAAACTGTGGTTTAAAATAAACCAAAAAAGATAGCATTCTTTGACAAGCAGGCAAAAGAAATCAACAGTCAATATAGAAACTACCATTTAATAACTGTAATTTGGGGGCAAGTGACTTGACTTAAATCTTATCCCCTCATTTGTTAACTTAGAATAATACAGTACTTCATCGAACCCGAGATGTCACTGATTGTAAAGCCACATTACTTTATAAAGCCACATTATACACCAGGAAAGAAAAACAACGCCGTCAATGAAACTATGACTTGCCACGAATTGTAAAACCCATCCTGATTTGAAAGACGTTGAAATGTGAAGAAAAAAAAATGCATCACAGAGTTAATTAAATATAGTCATACCTGTGTCACAGGGTTGTTATGTGGATTAAACAAGGTCACATACGATTTGAAAGACGTTGAAATGTGAAGAAAAAAAAATGCATCACAGAATTAATTAAATATAGTCATACCTGTGTCACAGGGTTGTTATGTGGATTAAACAAGGTCACATATGTAAAGAACTTCAAATTATCAGTGGTTCAAAGTGAGCATGCTCAATAAATTAGTTGTTTCTATTAGTAGCATAATCCCACTCTGAAAACAAAATAACACACCCACACATATGTGTAGACAAAATAATTTGAAAATATTAATAGTGATTGCCTCTGGATGGGGGAGACCATAGGTGACTTAAACTTTCTTAATAACTTTCTAAAGTTTTGCAATTTTTGCAAGAATCCTACATTACTTTCATGATTAGAAAGAGGGCAATTAAGTTATTTCTATCTTGGGGAAAAAATATCTGGAGCTGAAGACAGCAGGCAGGCATTCCAAGCTGTTATAATATGTAAGCAAAAAGGCTATTGCATGTTATCCTAGAAGGGACAAAAAGAAATTAATAAGACTGAAGTGAGTAACCTTATTCTGTTCTTCAACTTCCCTGTCAAATTACTACAGCATGTTTACTGCCCAGACTGTTCCGAAAATGAACAAAATCCAGAGACGTGGAAAATTCTAGATTAGATGAAATCAGTGTAAAAAGCACACAAACCTGGGGCTGGTTTAGGAAAAGTGCTCCATAACATCGTTTTCCTTCTCTCTTCTTCCTCTAAATCACTAATGGAATCTTTTGGATAGAGTCCTAAAATAGGATAGCATCCTGAAAGCCAAAAGAAAGTAGCAAATGCAACTCACCTCCGCCATGACTTTAGATGCACAGTAGTTCCTTCCTCTTCTGGGTTCTTAGAGGAAGAAAAAGGTGGAAAAGCGTTAAGAAATCATGAGACGACAGTCCCTTCCTGAAGCCCAGAGAGGCTAAGTCAGAACAAATCCCTGCCCCCATCCCAGGCACTGAGAAGGAGGCCAAAGAAGCTTGCAACTCCACCATCCCTCACCCATAACCATAAAAAACAACAGCAGGCGACCTTAGGGGGTCCTGACAGAAGTCCTGGGATAGACACCCAGACTGTAGCCTTTTTCTTCCTTAAGAGCCTGACTTGGGGTATTTTCAAGCCCAGCATCTTACACTGAGCCCAAGTCAATGGTTCCACCAAGTCAGTGGATCCACCCGCCAAGGGCCCATACTCCTATCCTTTAGGCTGGGGACATCTCTATGGGCCTCCAGCCCAGATCCCCAGTGCCTACAGGGTGAAAAAACAGAGAAGGGGAAATACGAGGGTACTTCATGCAGTTCGTGGAAAATGGAATTAAAAGATAATACAAATCTTTCCATGAACTTTTTGAAGTACCCTGTAGAGGGGCCTCCTCAGCTCTAAGTTCTAGAACCGTGTCCCGCTCCGTCTCCCTCCGAGATAACCCTGGGGGAATATCATTCACTAATCTGGAGACTGAGTGGCGACAGCTGCGTCCGCTCTGGCTGGGCTCCAAAATGCAATGGGAGCTACAAAGGCTCACAACGCAGTAGACACCCAGGACCTATCCGCCTGCAGACCCTGGCAGACCAAGAAAGTACAAAGAGGGCGCCCCACCCACTCCCAGCTCTCCCAAAGGCAGAGTGGACAACGCGGCCACATGGGGCGCGCACACACACATACACACAACCATACAAGAGTCCCGCTCAGAGCGGGCCCCACCACGGCCCCGCAGGCACTGATCGCAGAGCGCCGGACGCCGGGCGCACGATCCACGTCCAGGGAGTATGGCGCGGACTTTTTGCCCAGGCAAAACACAGCTGTTGTACATCCTCGACTTCCAAACACTCCCTCCCGCTCCAGCGCCATCCTCAAATCACACCCACCCCATGCAGGCGTGCGGCCCTGATACCGCTTTTTACCTAGCGGGGACTGGAAACCTCGACACTTCGATGGCACGGCCCCGACACCCCCCACCCGGCCCAATCGCTGGGTGTCACCCACTGCCTCGGCGTCCTTTATTTACGAAGAGCGGGCACGCAGCCCGGACAACCCATAAGTTGCTTATATTTAAAACTCCACAGAGACCCCAGCCTTGCCAGGACTCCTCACCGTCTACTTCTTCGGAGTCCGGTCTGGTCGAGTTCGTCCCAAACCAGGGAGCTATGCCGGCCCACACGCCCCCACTCTTTGCGTCCCAACTCCAGCCAACTCACCACCCGCCAGCCAACTTCTGCAGGAAGAGGGACACGGGCCGCGGAGCACTCTGGGAAAGGTAGTCGGGGGGTGGGGAGGGGGGTGGGGAGGGAGCGGGCCTGGGTCCGCACAACAAACGTTCCTGCCTAGCGTGGGTTCCTGTTCCGAGCCTTCAGTGAAACCCAGTCGCGCCAGAGAACCCTCCTAGGCGACAAGCCGAGGGTAGGCAGCCGCAGATGGGTAGTACGAAGTTGTGGGGCCGTGCTGGATTCTGGGGAACGAAGCCCCAAATCGGGGAAGGGGAGGGACGGCCCGCGTCCAGGACGTCCCGAGGCCGCAACAGTTCTCATCCCAAACAGGGGTTGGCTAGAAGCCTCGAAGCAGTTAGAATCGGGAGAGCACACCGACCGGAGCTCTCCCTACAAGGAGCCGCGCTCTGAGCATGGGTCGGGAGAGGATGACTCCCTGCCACGCCACGAATTACTTTCCCCGGACCTGGGAGTTTCAGCCCTGGGGGCTACAATACCGATAGAGCTGGGTGCCCACGTTTGGGCTGGGAATTCATTTCCCAGACCTGGGGACCGCCGGGAAGTGCGGTCTGCGGTCGGAAACGCAGTGATGCCGCAGCCAGGTCCTCGGGCCGGGCCCGACACGCCTGGTAGGGGCTGGGCCCGCCCGTGGAGGCGTCTGGGAAATGTAGTGCGGGACTAGCGGGCTGGGGATGCGGTTGAGCGGACTGAAGGAGCGCAGTCTTGGGCGCAGGATAGGGGAAAAGGGATTGGAGGAGATCGAACGGTGGTAACCCTGGGTCCGGAGTGGAAATAATGGAATACAAATTTAGTGGGATACAATGTCATTATTTTAAGATTAAGTTGCAGAGGGATATTTAGTGACAGAAATACAGTATGTTCCAGAAATACTTAGATGGAAAAAGTGTTACTAAACTCTGTCTCTATACACCATGTAATGCTGTTTTCAAAATTTCTATGAATAAACAGAAAAACAGGCACTTGGGTACTATGTAAAGTTACACTAACATTTGTTAGCAGTAGTTGATTATAGGATTTGTAATTATGAGTGATTTTTTTTTCTTTTCAGTTTGAGTATTCCTTTATATTTTGGTTATTATAATTTGCTTTGTGTGAAACATTACTTGTTAAATTTTGTTCAAGAAAAAGTAAGTATAGACTTTGAAATTGATAAATTCGAAAAAAAATAATAGACTGGATTTTCTAAATTCACAATTTGGTTCTAAAAGATAAATGAAACCCAAGCCTGATAAACAATAACAAAAGAAAACAAAAGTTAAAATAAAGACATTAGAAATGCAAAAGATTAAATCACTGACCCAGAGTTTAAAAGAATTTTGTGATTGTTAGGTGCAACTCTATAACCACGGTAGAAGAAACTGTAGGTTTCCTAGTAAAATTTAACTAATTTCTACTAATAAGTAGAAAACTTGAACAGAATAAGACCTAAAGATATCTTAAAATATGTACTATTAAAAAGGCACCACACCCACATGGTTATAGCTGAGTTTTAGCTAACTTTTGAACTAATAATGATTATTCAATTTATTTATATACAGTTTATTTATGCTCTCTAATGAATTTTATCTAACTAGCATAAAACCTAATAAAGACAGGAAAAAAAGAAAAGTATTAATTAGTTTCATTTGTAATTACAGATATGAAAATTCCAAATACAAGGCTGATTTTAATAATGTACATAAAATATATACAATAGATTATGTTAAAAGATTTCCTAATGTTGGAAGAACATTAAGAAATCTAATGACAAAATGCATTGTATGAACAAATTAAAGGAGAAAAAAGAAGTTGATACATCCAATGATGCCAATAAAATGATGTGGAAGACAGAATAATGCCCCTGTCCCCCAAGATGTCCAAGTCCTAATCCCTAAAATATGTGAATGTGTTTTCTTACATAGCAAGAGACACTTTGCAGATAGGCTTCATTTAAGGATCTTTTGAGATGGGAAGATTATCCTGGATTATTTTAGTAGGCCCAACAAGGGTCCTTATAAGAGGAAGGCAGGAGGGTCAGAGTAAGAGAGAAGATATGATAACAGAAGCAGAAGGTACAATGATGTGCTTTGAAGGTAAAGGAAGGGGCCATGAGCAAAGGAATGCAGGCAGCTTCTAGAAGGTGGAAAAGGCAAGGAAACACATTATCCCCTACAGACTACAAAAGAAACACGGCTCTACCGACACCTTCATTTTAGCCCACATGAACGATTTCTGACTTCTGACCCCAGTCTCTGCATAAGGAAACCTTTTCTCAGAATGGAGATAGGATGGAATGACCTGTCATTCATCAGACAGCCATGTTCTTGATAAGTTAATCCTTCCTCCTATTTCTTGAGATACCTTCTTTCCTCCTCTCCCAATTAGGATGGGACACCTAGTTGATTAGACACTACACTATGCTATGTGGGTTGCTGTTATTAGTCCGTTTCTGTTGCTTATAATAAAATACTTCAACTTGGTAATTTATAAAGAAAACAAAATTTATTGCTTACAGTTTTGGAGGCTAGGAAGTCCAAAGTCCAGGAAACATATCTGGTGAGGCTCTTGGAGGTGGTGACAATGACCCAAGTGTCTCACATGGCAGAAAACTGGAGGAGCAGAAAGGGAGTCTCACTGCTCTCCTTTTAAAGTCCTCAGAACCAGGCCCATGACCACCATTTTAATCCATTCACTGTGGCATGGTCCAACAATCTAATCACCTCCCCAAGTCCCCACCTTTCAATTGCCATAATAGGATTTTTCACCCTTCCAACAGTCATAGTGGGGGCCAAGTTTCTAATACATAAAATTTGGAGGACAATTCTCTGTGGCATGGTCCAACAATCTAATCACCTCCCCAAGTCCCCACCTTTCAATTGCCATAATAGGATTTCCCACCCTTCCAACAGTCATAGTGGGGGCCAAGTTTCTAATACATAAAATTTGGAGGACAATTCAAGCTTCAATGAGTTTGGGGGGACATTCAATCCACTACAGATGCCATAATGGTGGATAAAGCATTCTGTTTGTCTCTAGTTAAGATGCTGGCAAAAGCATTATGGGCAGGAAAAGAAAATCTATTTCTAGAATATTTATCTATACTTGTAATGATGAATCTCTCTCTGTCCCATCTGTGATAGAAGAGGTCCAATGTAATCAGCTTTTTAGTCAGACATGAGCAGGTAGGAGAAAGGAAGACAGAATATTACAGATCTGGTTGCCCACAAAGACATGTCCCAGGCCCATCTTGACCCACCCTAGCCCGCCCATGGAACACCCATTTGGCGGTCAGAACAGGATAAACTTCCACACATTTTGACCACAGCTTGTGGGTAGGGACTTTCCACTGTTTGCAGCATGCACATAACTATAGTACATTAACCCAGAGTTAACCTAATAGTTATTAGCATAGCATTAAAATAACATTTACATTGCGGTTTTAACTCCCCCATGGGCTTTTCGGCCTGCATTATTGGAAAAAACATGCGCAGTAACAAAATTAGGAAGTCATACCTAGATGCCAATCAAAGGCTTAGACAAGTAGCTTATGTTTATGCAAAATGAGTAGATAAAAAGCTCCAGGCAGACATGTGTGGGGCCCCCTGCTCTAGGAGTTTGGCCAGGGTCCCACCCTGCCTAGGATCA